GTTTGCTGCAGTTGGCTTTTGTGACAACCGGGAGTCCGAACTTGAGGAAGTCGAGAACACCGGAATCAGGAGCTGGAAGGAGAGCTTCTCTCGCATGAGGGGGCATGTCGAGGAGATTCTTTAATTCATGGGAGCTACTGTCAGCTGCAGGAGGTGGCATACTGATGAGTGTCTGCAGGCGGAGGGAACAACAAGCAAGCAAAATGTGGGTGAGACCAGGATGTCTCGAACAATTTGCGCTCATGTGGCGCAAATGACCTGAGTGGCCTTACGTGTACCACAAATATTTTAAACTCCGCTATAAGTGTCTAAGTACTTAAGTACGCTACGCAGCCTTGTCATAAGTACAGCTGAATATTTAGAGGAATTTTGATTGATTTAGAAGGACATACACTCAGTAGCTATGGTACGGAGAAGGCGGTGAAAAATGGGTGTGGTCACAGGTCACAATGAGCGTCTGGTGTGGCGAAATGTGAGGTTTTTGGTCACGGTCACAAGTGGGTGGCGAACCGTTCTGAATGGTACAGTATAGCGAGTGATTGCTTATTGGGTGACTTGCCGTAGAGGATAAAAAAAGAGGTTCGACCTCGGAGAGGTTTGCATCGTGGTAGTCTTATCATTTCTAGAAACACTCGGATTATGGCCTCAAGTAAGTTCTAGCTCGGCGGAAAGAGCAGGGAGGTAAAGAACTGACACGCTGTCTCCTCGTCGCCGGTTCGACTCCAGCTCAGAGCCTTAGGTCGTGAATAGTCGAAGCTGAATGGACCAACTCAACAATCCTCTTGTCACACCGAAATAAATGGTGAAATAAATCGGCTCATCAAAACAGAGATGAAGTTTCCTCCACCAATGAGAATGCTGTATGACTATCTGTCGTTCTACATCGTCGAAAAAAGGGCCACTTGAGGCTCAACACTCGCCACTTCACGATCAATCCAATCTAACCCGTCTGGGCGAGCAACGATGCAGATTGCGCAAGACGCCGTGAAGTCAAGCAAACAATGCAAGGCGAGTCGAAAATGAGCCCTTGCATCGTAATATAAATCACCCTTCGGTGGCTCAGTGGTTTCAGAGCAAAGAGAAAAGATAAGCAACGGCAAGCGCCAAGTGTATCTATTTCTTCGTCGCTGGTTCGACTCCAGCCCGAAGGTATCAGAGTCAGTGACAATATGGCATAATATTCCTCCGTTTTTGAACTTCTTCACACACCCAAATGAATGTCTCTGACTTAAGAGCCGCATTGTTAGAGATGAGCCGGGGAGAGTAGCGACACACCTGTGATCGTGTCATCTGACCTTGGTGAGAGTCTCCCGGATCGCGAGCTAGTCACTTTCACCCGTCTCATAAGCAGCACCAAGTCGGGACCATCAGCTTTCGCGTGGCTACAAAGTCAAAGAACACCGACCAGAACGTTACTTGTAGTCACACTTCCGCGCTCTCCGACCCTCTACAAATAAATCATCAGTATCAGGAGACGTAGGAACACGAAAACCACCAAACCTTCTTCCCTTAAACAGAGAGATACAACGTCAGTTCGCCTCCCACCGCCCGCCTCACACCTAACAAAAAACGACCCTCCAGCCCCCTCAAAATCCGCACAAAAACTCTCGCTACCCCCATTCCCATGCTCCACAAATACAGGCCCCTCACAACCCGGATCCCCTAAGACCTGAAGACTACAGGGTATACCGACGGTGATGAGTTCCAGGGACACACCGTGCTGGTCGAAGCAGAGTATTGAACGACGTCGGCGGCGAATGTGGGGGTGAGATGAATAGCAAAGATGAGGGTAGCCAGAAATCGGGAGAGGAAGAGGATCATGACGGCGGTATGGCTACTATGAGATGTGGAGGAGTAGTCAATTTGTGAGTATGGATCTCTGAACTCAACGTGATACATACCTGTGTATGATCCAGGTGATATCGGGAAAGGTATTCCTGCTAGCGATGTTCGTACATATGGCCATCTACACTGAAGAAAAGATGTGGAAAGGATCAAAGGACACGGCACAAAGTACGAGAAGTCAACTCAATGAGTTGATCTGTGTATGTACAAAGCCTGAAGGCGATGCTTGGGGGTAGGCAAGACCGAAGCACGTTGTTATTACCTCCCTTCCTTACATGAAAAACCAATGGGCTTATGTAAATGTGAAGCTCCAGATCGATTGTGATGATTTTCAAGTCCCCGAATTTGTGGGCCTAATCGTTCCTGGGGGCTCTGCATACTGAGTCTGAGGCGAACGCCTCTGTCGAGGCTCCAGATGTGTTGCTTGCGAGAGGGAAGATTGAGAAAAGATTCTGCGGTCGCGGTCGTGAGACAACAAAGAATAGGCTACGAGCAGGAAGAACCCCAAAACGAACCTGAAGAACCAAACTTCGCCGGAAAAGAACAGCGCATGCTATTGTTTGGCTCTATTTGGCTACCAGCATGTGGGCAATGGGCGCTTAATGGACGCCACTTTGTTGTTTGACGAGCTATCACTTGCTATCACCCTATTTTTCTAGTAAACCCCTGGACGAGAGATTTTCTCGCATTGTTTTCATAATTTCAGCACTATGTTCAACTCCCTGCGGCTGCCGATGCTTCCTGGAAGCTTCATCAATTGTGAAACGTCGAGAGACGCACGAGGTGCGTGCGCCGACTGCGATCGAGCACACGCCGATGCCCATTTGTTTGACACCTACAAGACCAGCTTACCCATATACCAGGAAACTGCTTTAGTAGATGGTATCCAAGGAGATAACCTAGGATGTCTGCAAGATCGCGCCCAAATGTTTCGCCACAATTAAATCTCAGCCCCTTCCAATACCTCCCTCATCTCCCCAGGTCCCAGTCTACCCAAGATATGAACGGACACCACAGAGGAAGATCGCTCATCGCCATGGTGCGATGGGAGGATGAGGTCCCTAATACCGGAAAGCTCGATACCTTGGGCTGTACAAGCACAGGACTTCTGCGATGCCCTGCGCCCGACAAAACTCGTCGTCCGCATCGAATTGCGCCGTCCCCGATACCATCGCCCTCTCCCCCTACAAGACATCCATCTCCGTCTAGTACCCGTCTTCTACATCATCCGATGCACAGTGTTTAGGGAGGACTCTCTTTTCAAGAGTTATTGTAGTTTGAGTTGGGTTTGGAGGGGAGATAAGAGTTGTAGGAAAACGGGTTGTAGGAGATGAAAATGGAGAGACTTGATAGGCCGCAGGGATGATGAGTGAGGGGTCTGCGCGGTCTACAACGGTGGGTTCGGTATCATTGTCGATTCGGACGCGCAAGTGTGGTGGTGCAGTGCCGATATTCCGATATTCTCGTCGTCGTGATCAGGGACTGTGGGGGAAAAGTCGGACGGTTAGTCTCACAGTTGGTCTTCAGACTCACGATGCTCTCGAAATGATGTTATCAGCTGAAGAGATCAGGAAACCCGAAGAATTGTAGTGGTGTGTGGAGTATTCTGTTCGAAGTTGCGGAATGCCGAGTACGTAGTGTGGCATACCAGCGGCAGCGTGCATTACAGAACAGATATTGAGCGCCATAACTCGCTAGAACGTCACACGATTAAACTGTTTACAGTCTCTCTTCGCAATCCAATTGCAGGCCTAGGAAAGCGACACAATCTGATGTCTCACTTCGAAGGAGTGAGGCGAGTCCATGAAGCCCGGAGGGGGGTCATCCACTCGGGTACTCTCAGCTCTATCTCCAGGGACATGTGGGCATCTGACAGCCGTTCCCAGCGCTTGTACTACGTACTAGTACTCTCTAAAGATCTCATGGGCCGAAGTTCACCCCCCTGTTTTCTCTCTTTCTATGACTGCCACACTTGACCAGGTCGCCGACAAGACATTCGACTACGTTGTCGTCGGTTGTTACTATCTCACGCTTCTACTATTTCTCATGCTGACCGTTCTTCATCTATGTAATAGGCGGAGGGGTACGTAGACCTGTTCGCGCTACTGAGGCATTCGACCTTATCGCTCCATACTTCGCCGGATTTAGACCGCTGGACTCGTCGTCGCTTCACGTCTTTCTGAGGATGCTACCGTCTCTGTCTTAGTGCTGGAGGCAGGACCTCCGAACATCGACGACCCCGCCATCCGTGCGTCCCATTTTACTGGACACACGTCGTGGTGTTTGACAGTTAGAGACAGTGACCCCGGCCGCATTCGGTAGCCATTTCGGAAAGCCTCAGTATGATTGGGCATAGAACACCGTACGTACCCTTTGGTTACGATACTGTGCACGTCTAACTCAGCTCTCCGCCTAGGTTCCGCAAGACCATTCGGGCGGACGTTCTGTCTACTGGGCTCGGTATGTGGTGTTCCCGACCTTATCATAATTGACCACTTATGTCTCTGACAGTGGAAAGGGACTTGGTGGTAGCTCCCAAGTCAACTTCTTTCAGTACCACCGTCCCGCACAGTCCGACATCAACGGTAAGCCGCCTTTCTCTGTGAACACAACCATCGTTTACTGATCGATAGCGTTTAGCCTGGGAGAAGCTCGGTAACCCCGGGTGGAACTGGGATCTTCTCAAGAAGTACTACATGAAATCTGAACGGTTTATCCCGCCCGAGCATAAGACAGAAGAGATGAGTTTTGACTTGAAAGAGCATGGCACCGACGGCGAGCCTTTTCCCCAATAATAGATGTATGCTGTCCTTGCATAGCTTAACGCATTGCTCTTTGACAGGCCCTCTGACTGTCGCTTACCCTATCACCCTCTCTGGTTTCGAGGGTCCATACCACCAGGTACATAATGCTCTTCTTATCTGCTGAGTACCCCGATTAATTGCGTTGTAATTTTGAAGGCCTTGAAAAGTCTCGGCATTCAGCGTGCGAGCGAACCCGTATGCTCGTTTTATAAATTTTTGTTTTCCACGGTGTGTTCTAACATACTGCTCAGTTCTCGGGCAATGTAGGTCGTTCAATGACATTGTCCGATGACGAGCCGATCCCTCTTATCGTTCATTCACTTAGACCAAGGGGACTTGGTTGACGCCGGTCACAATCCACCCGACCGAGCGCGTTAGATCTTATTCGACCAACGTATGTACATTTGGTCCGTGTCCATTGTTCAGTGGACGTCGCTGAAAATTAGCCACGGCTTGAAGATGTACTTCACCCCTAATGCTGCGAGACCCAACTTGACTGTCTTCTGCTCTGCTCAAGTCTGCAAGCTTGAGCTTACCAAGGGTGACTCCGTCACTGCGACCGCCGTAGAATTTGTTCATGAAGGCAAAACGTATAAAGCATCTGTCAAAATGGAGGTCGTCTTGTCCGCAGGGTGAGCGAATCCTTGTTCGCCTTCGTATTATTTGCTGAACGCACCTCGCATATCAGCGTCGTAATGGATCCCCAGGTCCACTTTTCTCCCTTTGCGACACCAAATCTAAGATTTATACCTCTCGTTCTCTATCGTACAGATCCTCGAAATCTCCGGTATTGGTGACAAGAAGGTTTTGGAACACGCCCTGATCGATACCTTCGTCGATCTTCCCGGCGTGGGCAACAATGTTCAGGAGCACGTCTACAGTGGTGCTAGCTATGGTACGAATTTTAGGATCATACTCTGCTACTTATTTCTAACTCAAGTCTTTGTCCGCAGAGGTCAAACCAGAGAGGGAAGACGAATTTCTGACATTCGATTGTCTCCGTGACCACGAAGAACTTGTCAAGCAGACAGAACTCTAGTGAGTCATTCCATGAATACCCCCGTGCACTCCGCACTGAAACATCAATCATGTCTTTTAGCAAGAGTGGCAAAGGCGTATTTGGAATGTCGTCTATCTGCATGACCTTCGTCCCGCTCGCTTCCATCAGCAGTAATTCTCAGGCTCTGCAGCAGAGGCTCTACGACTCGATCGAGGCCGGCATTGTTGCGAAGAAGTTTTCTTCTGCTCTGCAGAAGCAGTTCAAGGTTCAACTCGAACACATCAAAGCCCAGGACCCGAGCTGTGAGCTCGTGCTGACTCAGGCTTGTAGCTCGAAGCCCAGTAAGTCTCGTCAGTGCGTTCTGACCCCTAGCACTGACGGCCAGTTGTTTGTAGATTTGCCTGAGCCGAAGAAGAAGTACATCACGTTAACCAGTCTGCTTAACCATCCCTTCTCCCGTGGAACCATTGTAGGCTATAGACTCACTGTTCCACAGTTCGTGCCTAAATCTCGTTCTTGTAGCATGTCAAGTCCAATGATCCGTTGGAACCACCGGCCATCGACCCACACTACTTCGAAGAGGAGTACGGTAAGTTCTAGTCACCTTTATCTCATTCGGCGTGCATAGCATAGCTGCTCACTGCACCTCCAGACATCCGCACGTTTGTTGAGATGATGAAGTTCAACCGTCGGCTGGCACAGCAGGAGCCGTTGAAGAGCATTCTCACAGGCAAGACTCTTAAATCGTTCTCCAGCGATACCCGGACTGATATGATATATAAAGGAGCGGAGTTGAACCCTGGCCTCGCGTGTCAGACCGACGAGCAGATCGCAGGCGTGTCGAATTCCCATCGCTCCTACGATGTCTTTAGCATTGACTTTAAATTCAGACTACCTCAAAGCCCAATGCAATACGACCTATCGTATGTGCTCTCTGTTCATTTCGCTGGAGCATTTATTGATTGTCTGAGGCACCAGATACCGTCGGGTCCTGCTCCATGCTTCCACGCGAGGACGGAGGAGTCGTTGATACTAGGTTAAGGGTGAGTTAAGAATAACTTTCACACATTCAGGCAATAAATGATGATATGCGCTATAGGTATATGGTACCACCAACGTTCGCGTGGTCGATATCTCCATCATCCCCCTCCACATCGGTGCCCATATGCAAGGTTCTCGCTCCTCATGATCATCAACGTAATACAACCTCTGACCGATATTTGTTATACTTATACTTCAATAGCGACAGCATACGCTCTCGGAGAGCTGGGTAAGATACCATCGCAATGCATGTTTTGTGCTGAAGGCTGACATTTCTCTACTTCGTGTCAGGCGCGGACATGATCAAGGGGAGCATCTTCTGAGCATGTTTACATTCTTTCCCTGCCTGCCGCAAATCACTCGTTTCTCTTCCACGCATTGAACTTCCGGAGCGTGACTGAAGTGACTGACTTGCTGTGTATGATAGCTGGTGTTGTCGTAAATCGTACTAAGTATGCCGAATGCATTGCGTGTGATCTTCACAAGAAATCCTCCATTTTCTTTCTTTCCCATCCGTTTCTAAGCCGCCTTCTCCTCTTTCCCGCCGCCTTCTCATAAAATAACAGAGCACGTATATGATTTCTGCATCTAGGCACGAACACTGCTGATGCGTCGTGCTCCCTCAGAGCTTCTCCATGATTGCGTTCAAATGCTTGACAACTAAATCCGCTCCCAGCAGGACCTTTTCCACTTCCCCAGGCTTTACCTTCTCTAGAACTCTCTGGAACTTATCTGGATGCCACCGAAGCAGCGCGTCCTTCACGCGCTGCTTGTTTGGTCGCCCTTCCGAGTGGGATGGAGAAAGGACGAATTTCTTGATCTTCTCGACCTTGATGTCGTCTGGGGTATCGGGTTGAACGATCATAGGCCAACGGATGGAGGCAAACGTCTGGTTCGGTCGACCGATGAGACAATGGATAGTGGCCCAGAACGCCTCATACTTGGACCATTCGAGCGGAACACTAGCAGTCTTCTCTTCCTTCGAGCGCCGTTTCTGCCTTTCCTCCTCCCTATGCTTCTGCTCTTCGCGATTCCTCTCCTCTTTCTCTTTCCTCTCTTGCTCCTTCTTCTTGCTCTCCTCTTCTCTCCTCTTCTTCTCTCCCTCCTCTCTCTCCTTATTCTCTTTCTGCTTCAATACCGCAAGCTCGTTCTCCAGCTGCTCGACTTTGTTGACTAGCGAGCACAATTCCTTGTCTTGCAATGCTTTCTCTTGTTCAAATCGTGTCTTCATCTTGACGCTTTCCTCCTTCTCGTCCTCTAGACACGTCATCGCGGTCACCTTATCTCTCTCTGCCTCTGCGAGACTAGCTTCCAGCCTATCCACCGTCTCATGCTCTTGTTCCACCCGTTTTTCCAACTCCTCCCGCTGTTTCCGTTCCTTCGCCAATGCCTCGTAAAAACACAACATCAAATAAGTGTTCATCATTACCAATTGATGCTCTGACGACAATCTGTTTTCCATTCGAATCATCTCCTTGTCCCATCCCGCCTCGCTCGCCTTTCTTGCAGCCATCTCCTTCTGGAGCTCCAACTCCACCGCGGAAATAGCGTCCCTTGCAGCGAGGTCCAGCAGCTTGATCAACGTGTCATCAATATCGATCTGAACGTTCATGTCCTTTCTTTCGGCGAATAGTCTTGTGAGGAGATCTTGTCGATTCTCCGCCACGTTCGCGATGTCCTTCTCCAAGTCTTGCAGCTTTCGGCTGAGCGAATCGTAAGCTGACTTCGGAACGCGGACGGTCTCGACGAGCATGAAAGAGCCGGGTGGTGAGTGGCGGAAGTCATCTGGGAGATGTGCGAAGTCTGATAGGATGTCGGAGATGTCAGACGAGGCGAGAGAGAGGTTGGAAGAGAGTGGGGATGTGGAGCGGGAGAGCACGTCGCGGAGAGTTGTTTGACTTGGGGGAGTGTATCGTTCGGGGGATGCAGACTGGAGCTGGCTTTCTTTCGTAAACTCTAGCATGATTGGGATTATAATAAGAAGAAGATTGGAAGAAGGCGCAGTGATCTGGTTGGTCCGAGGTGAAGACAGACGGAACAAGAGGGTCGATGGTCGTCTTAGCCTTGCCTCGGACCTATATATAAGTCTCGCATGTTAACAAAGGGCCTTTGTTGAAAGTGACTCGGCAAGGTCCCTTTCTTTCGAGTGGCTCGTATCTCGCCATGCGTCTTCGACACTTTTGCCACGAGTCACTGCAGTGGATGTCTCGGAGAAGGCGCAATGATGTCCTCGTACCGAATCCAATTATTCATCCTCGTCTCCAGATGGTTACTACATATCTACAATCCCTTGAATTAATCCCACTCTTCGATAGCTTGACCGACTCTTCGACTCAAATTTCCCTTAGACGTAGAAGGAAAGGCGTCACAGCTACCGACTATCTTCCTCCCGTATCCGCAATGACAGTGCTACCATCGTAGCAGTGGCACGTCCCATCATCCTGCAAGCCAGGTGTCAGTTCACCGCTTGTTGAGGGTATATAAAAAACGTGAAATCGACGTACTGGATCGCAATGATATGTCCAGTGGTTCTTGGAGCACCAGGCGTTCCAGCTCGTGCAGTCCGAGTCGGTCTTGCATGCCTCAGCGCAGTTGGCGCCGAGGAGGACGACGGTGCCGAGGGCGAGGAGGATGCTGGTGAGGAATTTCATTGTGTGTGGAAATTAGGATAGGTAGTCTGGCCTGGAGGATGGAGGATGTTAGGATTAGGAAGGCCGACAAAAATGATACAATGGAAGACGAGGAAAGAGGACATACGAGGTAATTAGCGATTAGTTAGGAGAGGTTTACTTCGTGAATTTGCTGGGTTGATGATCAGAACAAGAAAGGAAATACCATAGAATGTGCTCAAGCCAGCAAAGCCAACTCTTTACTCAAGTTACCCGTGGATCCACACCTGCGCCAACACCGCAATAAGGTCCACCTACCGCCTCTCATGTTACTCGGAAGAATGACGACGAGTGTGCTCGGAATGACACGACCTCATCGAAGAACAAGCACACGAAGTGTTTGGAGTACGTCTTTCATGCCTGTAAGGCGGTCACAACCAAGTTCGAATTCATCGCCTATCGAGCGTAACACAGATGTAATCAGCGAGGCTGTGTTTCAGGCTGTAGACGTACGACTTGGGGCGCTGTATGTGCTGGAGCTTGTGCGGTGAACAGCTTTAAGGAATCGACCGGAACGCACAGAATTGGAACAGGTGAACACATGCAAACAAATGGCTCCACAGGCGAAGGTGGCCTCGAGCGTTTCAGCGAGACGAAGCGGTAGTGGGCGTAAGCGCGTCTGCATTTGTAGACAAGAATCGAATGTGGCGCTCGGACGTCCTTTCGACGAAACATGTGGAGAGCAGAAAGGAAATCAGTCGTGGTAAAAGAGATAATATATGTGTATCGTTGAAGGCCTATTTAGACAATTGCTCCAACCGCTCGTTCGTGCATTGGAAGCACTCAGGCATATTGGTATCGCTCCATTCGCCTCCATCCATAAGTTTGACGAGTCCAGGTGCACAATCGAAGATCCTGGCCATACCTGCACGTAGAACAGAAGTCAGGCATGGGGTCCGGATTATGGCGGAGCATATTGGGGATAAGGGACGACTAACCATGACCGTTAAACCCAGCGATCACGAACTGACCATGGAGGGAGGGAACGGGACCTATAAACGGCATGAGGTCTGGAGTCTGCAATAATGCAACATCGCGGGGGTGAGCTTCCAGCGTCCAACTTAAGAAATAGGAGAAACGAACCATCCCGATAATACCAGTCCACCCAAACTCCTCACCCTCGCCTATCTGCCTCCCCATCCCGTCACCTCCATCCCCCAGTCCAAAACTCCTCTCAAAACTCGCCAGCCCATCCTTCCTGATCTCCTCACTGATCTTCGTATCATCCGTCGTCCCAGTAATCTCCCTCCGTGTCTCCTCGCTCATCCCAGGCATACCTCTCGACGTCCCTAGCACGATCGCACCATCTACTTTCCGCTGTATGACGGAATAGAAATGGTGCAATTGGTAGCGAAGGGAGTAGGTGTGAGTCAGGAGGTTGGTGGAGTTGAGAGGTCGAGGAGGGATGATTTTGTGGGCTTGAGCGCGACAGGGGGTGACTTTTCCGGAGAGGAGGGGGAGGAGCGTGGGTGCGAAGGCGTTCGTGGCGTGAACAACCCGACTTGCGAGGATGCTGCGAGAGAGTGATATCAAGGCGAGCAGCGAAAAACATGGCTGAACGGAAGGGATGCGTACCTTCCCCGAGGAGTCTTCACCTGCCATACTCCATTCGGCGTTGTTACGGTGGTGATTGCGACTGCGGGCGTATGGGTGAACAGCTGGAGTCCATTCTTGACATTGCTCCGGATGATGAACTGGCAAAGCTTTGCGGGGTGAAGACTCGCAGCTTTCCACTCGAATGCACCCAGTGCAGATGGAACGCGTGTGACCTGGTGGCAATCGATAGGTTATTGACATCATTCCGGAGGTCGATTCGACAAACGGACCTTTCGAGCCTCTTCGGATTCCATCCATCGAATTGGGGAAGCATCTCCACCTGCGGCTTTGAACTCTTCGAACGCGTTCGTGACATAGTCTAAAAAGTCTTCGCCCATGCATACGTCTGGAACAATGATCAGAATAGGTTGGTACCCACGAACATCACAGGATATCGAAAATGTGGCGTACCGAAGGTACCGCAGAGATCGAAATCGCAATCGACTTTATTAGTGGATATGAAGTCGATGACTTTGTCCAACACTAGCTTCTCGTGTTGAAGTATCTTCATCGCTTGCTCCGGGCCATGTATCTTTGCGAGCGCAGTGAAACCGCGGAAAGCATCTAAAGGTGACATTTTTGTGGCGCAACATAGCCCATTATCCGATCAACCGACCATCGCACGGACAGGACAACGGAAGGACATACCAGGACGACAATGACCAGCATTTCTACCAGTAGCGCCAGAACAAGCTTCACGAGCCTCGAGCATGACGATATTCTGGGGACCGTCAGCACTTAGAAGGTGATAGGCCGTCAGAGAGCCAGCAAGACCGCTGCCGATGATAACTATGTCGGCTTGTGGGGGTAGAGATTCTGTGGCGCCATGGTTCAGATACTCAAGCTACGAGTGGTGCGCTGCCAGATCGAGAGGCATGGATCCTTTGCGGGTAGTCCTGGTGGCGGAACGGAAATAGTATCCAACGTGGTCACCATAGTCAATCTGAGGGTCTAATGTCAGCGATCTAATGTGAACGTCGGTCCAGTCTGACCGTTCAAATTGATGAAATGGGATGTCCTTGCCTTGAATGGACCTGGAAAACGAAAAGTTTTCTCAGTGTCTATCATTGCTCTCCATCGATATGACTCCTCTCGACTGTAAATCGGATGTCTAGCGCTTAGTACTTACTTTTGGTCTGGCAATCTCAAAGGTGATGCCAGCTCAAGAAGACGAGACGACGAGTGCCAAACGAGTGCGTTCAGGAAAGAGATATGAAGACCTCCAGAATTGATAATTATACTCTGGCATCTTGACAAACATAAGGAGACGGATCGGAACACGAAGCGATCAAAATGGTACTGTAATGGTACCGTGACAGTACCTCGACCGTCGATATCTTCGCCGCACCGTGAGCCATCACTCCTTCTTAAAGCCCTCCCCGTCTATCCCCCACTACAACTGGCTCCCCGTAACGCGTTCATTGCATGCTCCTGTCCCTTCCTAGTTCGCGCCAGTTAGCCCTTTCCTATCGGGCCCTCTTCCACCCGTCGCCTTTCTTGAAACGCCTTTAGCCACTGTGGCGTCCTCTCCAGCCATCGGGCATTGTTTTCAGCCATTGGGGCACCCCGTTCTCATTCTACCACTTTCCAGCTCCCGCCGGATCAGACTTCTCTTGTCACCCCTCCCGTCTATGTTCCCCTATCGCCTACCGGCCATCGACCTCTTGTACAGTCTTTCCAGCTGGTTACTCGCAAGCAGAAGGTCATGCACCTGCTGCTATCGATCTCTCCGAATCCGAAGATGAGTCAGCCATGGTCGCCTCCGTCGAGGACGACTTTAATAGTATCGTGTTTGGCGTTGCTCACGGTTCCACCTCCGCCTCCCGCTCCTCGTCCCCTGCTGCTAGTGATGTTGGCATGGAAGAACTCCCCGGACCACTCGGAGTCGAGCTTGATGCTGACTTGACCAAGAACCGCAGGGGGAAAGAAATCGGCTCTTTGTAGAGACTGGTACGTGCATTCTTTGGTTGCCGCCTGGGATACTCTGATTTGACTCTGATGATGCTGTCCTCTCCTAGTGTGCACATCGTTTCTGTGCTGTGCTTTTTAGCTTAATCCTCATATCTGCCGTCGAGTCTACGTCAAATTCTTTTTCCTGCAGGTTCCTAATTCCGTGATGTCGTTTCTTCCTGATGTGTCTCTCTTTCGATTTGAATTTGACCGTGTTCGATTGTCGTTTCTGAATCTCCTACGAATTTTGACTTTCGTTCTATCACCTCTGTACGTCTCTGTGTGCACTGTGTTCGACTGAATCGTTTACCTTTGCTCAAGGGGGAGGCATAAATAAAATAAAAAACCGGGGGTAGGGGGGGAGGGGGGTCCGGGGGGTCCTTAAATGTGAACTGTCCTGACCTTACGCGGAGCCGTTTTCAGTCATTTTAGCAACTTTTTGACAATTTTTTACATGGTCTTATGTACTTTTCATGCATCTCTTACTCTAATATCAAGGTTTGAATGTTTTCTATTGACCTCAAAATCAGAAAAGGCTGTATATGAACAATTTTAGGCTAGGTTAAGCTACGGTCGACGTCGGTCATCCCCTCCCCTAGCCTAGGCTAGGTTAAGCTACGGTCGACGTC